CCAGCAAGAGCTCCCCGTTCAGCCAGGCTAGTCAATTAGTACTATTTCAATAGTTAATATAGGCCCACACTGTCTGATATCAACCACAGGTCTTGATTAGTACTGAAATTTCTATAGTTTTATGATTGTTTTTAGGACAGTAGGCAATTACCGTAGTACAAAACAATGCAGTCAATGAGATGTATTTCAGAAGAATGGCTGCTACTGTTTTTTCCACTTCACATGGCATCTTTAAACTTAAACTTCTCCCACATGTGGCCCATAGACCTTAGTACTAGACATGCACAGACTATCCACTGTATGTGCACATACGTTGCAAGCACTCAGACGTGGAATTCCACGCATGTTCTGTACTAAGAGGACAAAGACTGATTTAAGCATTTCATTAACTCAGGTTTCCTGAACAAGAGCCCCCAAATGCTTGAGCCTGAATATCTGCTTAGAGAGGGTACAATGTGCATACAGACTACATTTACATTTTTAAGTACTTCAGCTGCTGGTAAATAACATCTCTTTTGACAATTTATAAGTATTTATATTTCCAAGTTTTCTACTGAAGGTTACTCAAAGCAACGTGGAATTCATGAGAGAAGATTCAGAGTCAAGGTCAAACAGGTATCACACTATCACAGAGGTTAAAGAGTCAAAGACACTCAAAATAAAATGGAGTCAAACACATCAAAGGAGAAACTGTTGAAATGGCTTCCACTCCAAATGCCTTCAACAGGTCTGCCATAGCTATCTCTTGATTCAGCCCAAAAAGCCCAAAAATTCAATTAGGCATTTTGTGTGAGGGGTGTGATAAACAACCTAGTGGCCATGGAAGCCTGAGGAGGCTTCCAGAAAGGCTTTCATTTTCATCTATGTGAGCCTACTACTCTATTCACAGCAAAAATATAAAGTCAGATCTTTAACTCCTGAGCAGTAGAGACCAAAAAGCTACCTACACCAACAGTGCAGTTCCACATCCATGGCAGGAAAACATCTACTGGAGGAAGAGTTTCACTCTGAGTAACATAAAACAATCTGACAGTGCACAAACTTCCAAGGACATGACCTCCTATAGGTCCAAGCAAATAAAGGAAGCCATAGGATACTCTGCCAAACAAAGTGCAACCACAGCAATCAGACCTACCTCAACCAGCTGGGGCCCAACAAGGACTGTTGGGCAGAACTGTTCTTTGTCTTGCAAAACATTTAGAGTTAAAGGTGTAGGTGGGAATGTGTACTAAAGCATCCCCCAAGAAAGATGAACAAAACATGTCCCAAAAGCAAGGACTGAACACAGTGACTAACCTGCTTGTCTGAAGAGTCACAGCAAGTCAGTCTTTAGAACCGTTTTAATATTTAAAAGCAGCCAGCAGCCTTAATCTCCCATTTGCATTACAGTGAAATGCAGCTGCTGACATTGATATATTTCTGTATTCAGAAAACCCAGAAACGTGTTTCTGTTACAGACTGGCTGGCTGGCTTAGCCCTGGGGAAGGCACCATTTCCTCGGGTGCAGGGAAGGGGGGGAGGGGCAGGGAGGGGGTGTTAAACATAGGTGGTACCCAAGTCTATGCCCCAGTCAGGATGTGGTAAGTGCATGCCTGTCAGGCTGCTTGCCATTCTAAGCAGCACAGCTGCTAACTAATGGTTCCCTTTTCAGCTGGTAAGCTTTTGTGCTCAAACACCACTAGGGCACAGCTCAAGTGAAAAATCAGGAAATGCCATGGGCACCGGTCAGCCTCTTAAGGGTAACAAGGTTGTGTTCTCCAGAAGTGAGATATTAGGCTCTAGCAGAGACATTGCTGAGATGCATCAGAATGCAAGTTTGCTGGGTAAAACATTATCACAAAAATCCAGAGTCAATGAGGATGAAGACTCACTCCCATTAAAGGTTCTATACCCTGGGTCTGCAAGAGCCAGCAAAGGGACTCTTCTAGCCCCAGGGATGAATGCTGAAGAGAAAAAACACAGCACAAAGGGACTACGCAAAAACCACCCCAAAAAACCAAGCACCAAAAGAAAAAAGTGCAGCCTGCATTCTAGCTTGGAGGCATGCTTAACATGAAATGCAAAGCATCCCAGAGGTAGCAGTGGAGACTGGCTTCTGTAACACCCTGGTTTCAAGAGGCAAATGAGTTACAAATGGCATACATCTTGAGATTACAGACGTGCTCCAGTACTCCAATACTTGTGACTCATGTAATTTAAAAGTGAAATATAAATATGGAAAAGTATGCAAAAGAAAATATTTCCTTATGTAAGGATTATATATAATTAATATTTATATACAATTATACTTCCCCTGTTTGTATCAGAACGGAAATAATTTAAAACCTACATAATCTGCAGTTACTTTGAAATGTTTTATGAAGTTACTTCCTCAGCTATTCAGAAGTTAGTGGTCAATTCCTGACTGGTCATGCCAGAAACAGTATTTTGATACTAGTAATATTGCCTACAACTTCTCTTCTAAATAAGATTTGACTAAAGCTTGAGTAGTAACCTGACAAAGACTAAGTGGTAATATAGTTAGCCATATATAATTTAATTAACATTCATAAAGTTTTGATAAATTATAATAACCATACTAACATTAAAAGCCACGTAAACACTGAACTATGTTCCCTCAAGAATGCACACATACCTGCATGAAATACCCAGTAACTAACGCCTTTCTTATGTTGATGTAATAGTCACGGCTGGTAAAGTCCGTGCTTCTACGAGGCAAATTAAATCTATCCATGATTCGTGACAGCTGTTGGCGTACATTGTCTGCAGACATCAGGGACCTGTAGTTAATGAAGTTGTCATAACACCACTGAACTGACTCATGATCTGCAACATTAAAAAACATGAATCAAAAATGAGTATTTCATCCAATTAGAACACGTAAATAAAACAGCAACTAACCGATTGATCAGTCAGATGAACCAGAAAAAACATCCATAAACGTTTATAAATGACAATAGCTCTTAGTTTATTCAGTTGATTTCCTGCATTAGATAACTTGTCCAAATTGTTTTCTATTCAGGAACCACGTGGTCAGGACAAAAGAAAATTAGCTTTTTTGCCCCTCACCAACATAACATACACACAATCACTGATATATTGCTGAAATACCACACCAATAAATTTCATACATTTCAAAAATCATGCCCTGCCAACTAGAAAAGTCATCTTCCAAACCTGAAGTGTAAAATGTAACTGAACATAAAGGAACACTGCACAATCTTTAACTGTAGTGTGCAATGAACACACAGGAAGATTGTACATAATTATATTGTATTTGAGAAGCCAAATCCTCCTTAAATTAAGCATTCAAGTAACAGTTAAGAGCTATACAAACAGACTAATCTAATACTAAGTGTGATGCATCTCACAGCAGTTTAAGTAAAAGAAGGTGACTGGTCAGTAACAGAACTCAGAAGTCTTAAGTTACTGTTTCTACTGCTGATACCTCTAGTAAGAAATCTGTTAAGACAGCAAGCCTACACCATTCTGTCAGGATAAAAACCTGCATGTTTAACATCAAGAAACCCAGTTTTCCCTACCAATTCTGTTACTTTTCAAGTGATTCTCTTCTAATCTTTGTCAGTTTAATAATCCAACAAAGCAAGCCTTAACAAAATTTAAAACTTAAAGTATCTCTTGTACAGGGAGAGACTATTCTTAATTTGCATTGGAAAGAACGAAGGTTACATAATTTGAGGAAAGTTTAAATTGTTTCTGCGCTTTATCTTACAGAATATATTTAAAATGAAGTGTGAATGATGAAACTTTTGTACACCATACAGTAGAATCATTACTATAGTACCATAGCATGTTACTTTCTGTGCCATTTAAACTTGTGCATTTTAGATGACCCACAACTGTTATATTGTTCTAGATACAAACAGTAGCAGCATTTTGTCTTCTGATCCTGAATCCCAGAAATCCTACTCAATTTCACAGTGAAACTGAACAAAAGATTATCCCCCAAATAATTCCATCCCTCAGTAACCCAAGTATGAAAGCAGTGGCTTTACAAACATGCACAAACAAAATGTCTGCAAGACATACTGGACCCTGTTAACTAAAAAAGCTATCAGAAAAAACAGCAACAGACATCTCCAGCTCACAAGTACATAGCAGAAGTTTCTCAGCTATTGTTTTAAACAGTTTTGAATAGTTTTGTTTGGACTTTTACTCTGAAGATACCCTTATTTTGGATTGCCACATAACAATACAGTGTTAGAATGTTTCAAAGCAAAATTTCTAGGTCAAAAGCGCAACAGAAAGGGCACTGAGTTGTGGTTTGTTTTTTTTTTTTACTCAGGGTAAGAGACTTGCTTTTTTGTTTGCTTACAGGAAAATGCAACTGGAGCATCTAATTTAACCTGGTCGGCAGTTAAGAGTAATCTTTTTACTTACCACCAGGATAAGTCACTGTTAAAAAAGTGTGCCATTTATGTAGTCATTTTTCAAGAGAACTCCTAGCTTCACCTGTTCATTCCCATCTTTTTCAAGCTGCTAAAAGATACTTCAGCTATGCTGAGGAGGACCATACATTTTCCCTAAAATCCATATACAGAAATGAGGTAAGTGAAATAAATTTATCGTATGGCTCTAAGTTACTTCTTGTTGATGCATCACCCCTTTGCCTCCCAAGGCCTTATTAGAGAATTCCTAACTATATTAAAAAGTTAGGATTAAAAAGGTTTTGGTTCTAGGAACATACCCTTCTCCAAATTCAGAGTATTTTCTGCACTGCTCTCCCTGAAAAATTACTAAGCAGTTATGCAGATTTTTCTATAATTAATGTCAGATAACAAACTTCCAATATTTCTTAATTATAGGAACGCTTACTTCCTTCTGTCCAAGGTTACCCAGCATTGATTTAAAAGCCTGGCTTGTCTCCATACTCATCAATTTATTACATGATCTCTTGGCTAGTTTTTTGGTTTTGTTTCCCCCCCAAATGTAAGTAGCACTTAAATAGCTCTTCTACATACTTCAAAAAAAAAAAATTTAAGATTACAACTGAATGGCTCAAAAAACAAGCCTAAGCCTTTCAACCGTCCTTGGAACCCAGGAACAAAAGCTGGCAGCACAACACATTAAAAATAATTTTGCTAAAACAGGTGCACACTTACTTTGTTTGAAAGCATGGTAGACATTCAGCAACGTCAAATGATCTCCATCTATGTGGGCAAACCTCATCTTGGCTTCATCTGCTGCTTTCTTTGCTTCCGTGGGGCGAACAAAACACTGTGGGACTAAACAAGGTTGGTATGGGCCCAACACAAACGCCCATATCGATGAGTCACGCATTCACAGATAGAGGAACAAGGCCTAGCTAGGTCAGTTCACAGAGCATAGGGCAGGGCAGGATGGCCTCCAACTGCATCTTGGACTGTTTACTACCTTGATTTGGTACATCAACACCTAACCACATCTGTAAGACAAGAGGGTTTCAAAGCTACAGAGTACCTGATTATTTTAATAGAACTATATGTAGGCATCAAAATCTCTAGTCTGAAGGCCATCAAGATTGCCTATGTATACTGGAAGGCTAAACAGATCTTAGTTCAAGACCCAGTGCTGATAGCTCTACCAAGAGCTAGTACACCATGTAACAAAACACTTAATTACAAATTTGCTTTCTCAGTAAGCCTCTATGGACAGAGTGAAGAAGGTAGTTCTGAAACTGTACTGCACTAGCACAGTCTAAACAAACATGAATTTTATCACAAGTCTGCTACTAGACAGAACACACTAGTAAAGTCAAGTCCTCTTCCCCAGATGGTATTGTTATCAGCACTGGTATACAGAAACATGTGAATGAAGGTATTAAGTCTAAAGGTTGTGATGGTAGCGGTAGTGGTGGAAGGTTAAACCGTCCTTTGGCACTACTTGAAATAAAAAAAAAAAAAGAAAAAAAATCGCAATGTGATGAGCTTTCTCTATCATTATATTCTCTTACATAAATTGACTCAGTCCAACGTGAATCCAAAAATCGTGTTTTAACATTTCCTTTCCAAATACAGACTACCAAAGACCACAAATAGTATTGCAGCCAACTTAATTCATGGTCTATCAACATTCTTACAGGTTTGTAATATCAATACTAATTCACAAAATGTTGAAAGTAGTTATAAGAGATCTTCACTTTATAGAGATCTACAGGAGAAAAAAAATCAGTTTGGTTTTAAGTAAATGTAATTTTTAAGATATTAGATTTCAATAAAATCAATGCTAAGTAAAATGCTACAAATCCTTTATCTTTTTCCAGCTGCTTGGGACTACACTAGCATCCTCATAACTGAAGCCCACCAACCTCATGAGACCACCTCTTTGCATCTCATCTGTCCCTAACAGATGAGGGCCTTTTTGTGGGGTATGTAGTTTTACTTTATTTTATTCTTAAATTCCCATAAAAGGCCCAAAACACCACATTTCAAAAATATGTTGAGTTGAATACTAAATGGAATTTGAGAAAAAAATACACACTGCAACAGTGAATCACATGGTAACAAATCAGCAAGACCGATGCATTACAGAAAATGGAAATGCAGGTGCAAAATAAACATCCTGTATTTTGGGTCCTGCATTTGAAAACAGAGGTAATATAAAGTGTATTTTAATTTCAAACTCAGCCTAATAAAAGGAAATTCCAAATTATTTTATCAGTAGCTAAAGTCACTGTTTTGAAAAAGTAATAGCACTTTCTACCCCACAGCAAGACACCACACCTCTTGTAAAATGAAGTACAATCATTTAATCTGCTCATCTATTCAATGCTATTCTCTGCTCTTTTCTGGTATCTAGTTTTCCATTCAGTCCAAACTATTAATACATGGATTGCTATGCAGAGCCTGACAATCTTTATGTGGACTTAAGGCACCATAAAACACAGTCATGCTGCTGGCTTAAAGAAGTGTTTACTTTGGGGAATAGTCCTCACAAATACTAGGACTATGGTTTTTTTAAGAGCAGAATTTTAGTTACAACCCATACATTAACCAGCTTCAACCCTTTTTTTTTTCTTTTTTTTTTTTTTTTTTTAACTTATTTATCATTACATTAATTGTGCCTTAAAACAAAAAAGTATCATGGCCTGGGAAAAGGTAAATAGAAAAAGGAATAAGACAAATCAGTTGAAGACCACAGACAAAAATACTAGACTTACTGTTCTGTAGTAGAGATTGGGGGGAGAGCGGGGAAGGGAAGAGAAAGACAGGCACCAACCTACCACCACCTCCGCAATTAAGCCTACCATTTAATTAAAAAAATTGTTACAATTCTGCCCTGCCCATCTGCTCTGAGTCTGAACAATCATAAGTCTGCAACAAACATTTTAGCTTGTTCTTAAAAAATTTCATATAAATATACTGTAAGACTAAACTGAAGCAACAGATTTTACACTTAGCCAAAACTTTTTTTTTCTTTTTCTTCTCTATTCAACCAAATTAAGCATGTAACCAGAACACCTGCATTGTCAAGAGCCTGGTAAAACAGCACACCCAAAAGACAGAAGAGCAGTTACGAGTAAGAACATCCCCATTTTCGTAACAGACTAAATCTTGCCGCTTGTCCTATGACAACTAACTATAAAACGAAGTCAGTTCTACATAACTGGGAAATGAAATAAAAGGCTTGCTTCATAACATTTTCTCTAATCAAGCTCTCTCGACAAGCAGCTCTGCTCTGACGCAGTGCTGCCTCCCCCGAAGATTTCTTTCTTCCCTTTAAAAGTAATGACTGTTCTTCAGCTTTACCACTTAATGACTGAAAAAGGTATCATCATTTCATGTACAAGCTTACGGTTTAATATAAATTACACTGTAATCCTTTTAGAAATATTGGGATTTACCAAAGTGCAGAAGAATGCACAATCAAAACAGATTTCACTGCTTTAAAAACAGAGTGATTGAGCTGACTTTTCTGGTCCTGACTATGGCCTAAGAGGAAAATTCTGTTCCACTAGCCTGATTTTCTTCCCTTCTATCAACTCAAATACATTCACTTTTAACTAAAGTTAGGAGCAAACTGTTTGACCATCTTATGCATGTTAATTTCTTAACGTTACTATTCATTAGCTTCAAGGTCTCTCTACGTAAACCCATAATGATTGATTAAACCCCTATATGAAATTTCAAAAACAATTTTAATTTTATTAGAAATATATTTATAATGTTTATATTTATGTCGAAAACTCAAATTTTCCCCAAACTGAAGATCTGCATTTTGTTTAGTATCT